ATGAGGCACTGTCTCATCCAGTGCAGATTCTGTGATTGATGGTGCAGATGATGACGGCAGGTAATGCGAACGTGTGACTTGTATGCCACTTAATACATGTAGTGCATTTCTGTTTGCTTGTCCAAGCTGGTTAGCTTGGCCTACATATTCCTTACAATTACTGCACAATGAACAAAATATAATTGAATGAGATGCCTGCAACATTGTGTACTGGCACATACCCAGTACATGTACATGTATTAAGTTGAGGTAGGAGAACTGTCATGCAACAGAACTCTGCCATATTATAATTCCAAGAGGCATTGTTAGACTGGGCTTTTGTTCGGCTTTGATTGGCACTTGCATATTGTTCTCCCATGGTTCCTTTACAGCCGGTGGTTTCTTTTCACCGTTATCATTGGAATGCATTGTGCTTAGAATGTGGGCAGGTAATGGCGGAGCTTTTTCTCCGATGGCTTTGAGAGTGGCATCTATCATTGTATCTCCAGTGCTTGGAATTTCTTTTGCTCCCCGTTAGCTGAGAGTTCCTTTCCCTGGGTTTGGTTTATTTTGAGCTCTAGATTTGATATTTTGGAAGAGTTTGCTTTCATTGCTGCACAATTTGCTTCCATTGCTTTGACCATCGTTTCCATATGTTTTGTGAGCAAGTTGACAGCATGCGACAGTTGTGCAATATCTGTCTGGGCATGTTGGTCAGCTGAGGGTGTTTCGACATATTCTATAATTATTAGTTGCTTTTCTGCGAGTTCGTTTAGCTTTGTTTGCAGGGTGGGGTTGTCATGAAAATGATCGATTGTTACCGATGAACCTACCAGTAGCTCTTCTCTTTTAGCAACTATGTTTTGGGCAAACTTAGTTCCTATCCCTGGTAATGTAGTTAATTCTTTTACGGACGCCTTATTGATATTTATGGCCATGGTTTGAGTACGGTTCCCCAAAAGTGTGATTGACAGTACATGTAATGATAAGTAACAATTAAATACTTATTAAAAGAATCTGCTACAAAGTCTTTAATTCTAGACAGTCACTTGCTTTAACTGTTACGCCTTCTGCTGTCATTGACGCACAGCAGTTTGTCCAGATAACAGTTAGAATATATTTTGGTGCCGCAAAAAAATGAACATTATAGTTCTTTTGCTTCTTGTAAACAGCGGACCCACGCAATGCGATAAGTAGCAGATTCCTGATCAATACAAATAACAAAATACAAAGCTCAAGAATATCACAATATTATCTTCTTTAACTCTAGGAAACTCTTAATAAATGCTCTTAAAATGGTCTTGGTTTTAGTGTCGACAAATTCAACGAACGCCGAGAATGTCGACGAAATGTCATTGACAATGTCAACCACGCCTACAATGTGTGTAAAAACAGTCTAGGGGAATTGTCACTGTTGATGGTTGATTTTAGAGCAACTTTAGAACAAACGCTGATTAATCAACTAACGCCGATTAAGTCGACGCGAATCAGTAGAAAGTATCAGCCGAATGAAAATTTTCACAGAGACAATTACTCTTCTAATTGAAAAAGGTGATAGCTTTTTCTTTCCTTTCGTAACTTAAATCCTAAACCCTATTATCTTAGCGTAACTGTTGGTCTGCAGTACCACTGCAGTAGGAATTTACCTCGTCGCCAATGTGGTATTTGGCGAGAACGGCGCCAAAGAGCCGGAGTCCAACAGCAACGGAGGAAGGAGACGCAAGTCAGGTTTGTTTCGGTGCATGGATCAGACTGACGTCTCGTGGCCAGCCCGCTCGAGCTGGCCACTCACGCCGTCAAGCCCGACTGACTTTATTCAATACGCATTCACTACACATGTAGATGTTGTTTTACATCTGGATTCACATCTTGCGGTGTGAATCCAGATGTCTCAATCTGGGCATAGTTTGGGTAACCACTGAGTACAAATTCCACCATGTGTGATCGGGTTGTGACCAATGAAAAAAACATGTTAGTAAAAAGTATCTTCTCTGTGCAGAGTGAACACATGAACAACATTCATGGTAATAAATTAATAAAGAACATTAACTTGAGGGTGTGACCTCAACCAAGATGCATTCTCTTTTTTTTTATAGCTTGCCTGCAAGCATCTTCCATATTATACAATGCACCTCCTGATTTCTTGCTCGTTGCCATTCCCTTTACCAAAGCAGCTTGTCCAGGAGTGTCTTAATCTGAGCATAGTTAGGGTAAGCAGCGAGTACTGATACTTCTTCAACAATGTGCGGTCGCTTTTCCTTTAATCTTGGCTCAGTTTGGGTAACCCCTGAGCACATATTCCACCATGTGTGATCGAGTTGTGACCAATGAAAGAACATTTTAAAAAGTAAAAAGTATATTTTCTCAGTGCAGAGTGAAAACATGAACAATACTTATGGTATTCGCCTATTAAATTAATAAAGTAAGAAAGAACATTAACTTGACGGTGTGGCCTCAACCCCGATGCCTTCTTTGTATATTGCCGACAGGCAGCTTCCAGATTCTACCTCCTGATATCTTGCTCCTTGCCTTCTCCTTCACCAAAGCATCTTGGTCAGGAGCTGTTTCAGAGCTGAAGATGTGACAAATTTCACAAAATTCCTTGAGCTCTTGTGCCATCCATTTTTGTCTGTCAACTGGATGCCCTTTTTCACCCTTTTTTCATTTCTTCTGCGTCCAGTGACAGATAATTAAAGCATAAAACCTCAGATACCGGTACATCTTTTACAAAGCAATTTGAGCAAATGTGTCGACCTCTTGAAGCATACCGGTATTACTGGCAGTGATCAAAGCCAAATAATGCATATGATTTGACCATTGAGTACTGTTTCCATAAGTTTTTTTTTACAGTAGGCCTACTTCTTTTGGTGTGAATCCAAATGTTTAAACACGATCATACTTTGGGTAACCTCTGAGTATGTATTCAGTCATGTGTGCTCGGGTTATGACCAATTAAAGCACATGGAAAAAATAAAGAGTATGGAATGTATTATTCTCTCACTGCTGTACATGTACATGCAACATTTTCTACCTAGAAACTGTGCTTCCTGGTATGTAGTACAAGTCTCTATCTTTAGCCATGCAAACCTTCAAAAGAGTTCCGTTTCAAAAGAGTTCCGTTACAAAAGAGTTTCAAAATGTTTAAACACGAGCATACGTTGGGTAACCTCTGAGTACGTATTCAGTCATGTGTGCTCGGGTAATGACCAATTAAAGCACATGGAAAAAATAAAGAGTATGGAATGTATTATTCTCTCACTGCAGTACATGTACATGCAACATTTTCTACCTACATTGTAGAAACTGTGCTTCCTGGTATGTACAATGTATGACAAGTCTCTATCTTTAGCCCTGCAAACCTTCAAAAGAGTTCTGTTTCAAAAGAGTTCCGTTACAAAAGAGTTCCGTTACAAAAGAGTTTCAAAATGTTTAAACACGAGCATACTTTGGGTAACCTCTGAGTACGTATTCAGTCATGTGTGCTCGGGTTATGACCAATTAAAGCACATGGAAAAAAAAAAAGAGTAAAGAATATATTATTCTTTTACTGCAGTACATGTACATGTATAGTGCAACATTTTCTATGTAGAAACTGTGCTTCCTGGTAGGTTTGACTAGTCTCTATCTTTAGAAAAAATAAAGAGTATAGACTGTATTCTTCTCTCACTCCAGTACCAGTACATGTGCATGTATGTGCAACATTTTCTACCTAGAAACTGTGCTTCCTACATGTAGTAGGTTTGACAGGTCTCTGTCTTTAGCCATGTTAATCTTCAAAAGAGTTCCGTTTCAAAAGAGTTCCATTTCAAAACAGTTCCGTTTCAAGAGTTCCATTCAAAAGAGTTCCATTGCAAAACTGTTCCTTTCAGCTTTGTGAAAAACATGTTTGGAAATTACACATGTCAATGTTAGATTCTCAATTTTGAACTCTCCGATGAAGATATCTTGATTAATGTGATTATGGGTAAATTATTATAATAAGCAAAGATAAACATGGCGAATAAGGCAGATTGGTTAGCAAGTAAATGCAAATCTGACTCTAGAACTTACATCATTTTCTCTGCGTTGAAGACTTCCTTTGTTTTGGTACCGTACACAAAGTGGGGGTAGGTTTCACTGGCCATCATCTTATTGTAGATACATGTATGCCCACTGTGTCATATGTACATGTAGGTGATGATTTACAAACTAGTCCAACAACTCCCCATCCCAGCAAAGATTTCTGCCCAGAAGAAGCCTTGCGACAGTGTAGCCTCCATATTTCAACAGCTCCCCTGGTAGGCAGTCTGTTCCAGCAGCCTTATTATTCGTAATGCCAAGACACGCCTCGTGGACTTCCGAAAACGTTGTTGTCTGATCAAGATCTTGAATAGGTGGCAAAGTGGGTAGGCTGTTAAAGATACTGAGGTCCGCAGGGTTGGTACAGTTCAGCAGCTTGCAGAGATGCTCAACCAGCGTGAAAGAATACCCTGAGACCTTTGATAAGAGGGGTACCGTCAGCAGAACACAAGGGGATGCATGTGCTGCATAAAAGTTTTGAGCAAAACCAAATCTCAGTGGCCTTTTCGCTCCACCAGTCATTCTGCATTCGACGTAGGGACAACTGGGCCTCAGATCGAAGTTGAGCATACTTGACAGGGAAACTCATCAACAATTGCATGCTCATTAACAACAAGTGCCTCCTAGAAGGCATTCTTTTATGCAGGCATTGTGCTGCAGAGCTTCAGACCTTTTTTTTTTTCTTAGCCCAGGAGATGCCTCTTATTTCTTGTTTTGGCACACAGCACTGTGCATATAGTTTTGGTGACAACTGAGTACAGTTGCTTTGATTTTGTTTTACTCCTTTGGTAGATCCCAATGTGTGAACCCGAGCACAGTTTGGGTAATCGCTGAGTGCACTGTTTTATGTGTTATCATCAGTTATGATTATGTTATCATAAGTTACTTGTACATGTACCTTTAACTTTTAAACTGTCAAGTGTATTTGATACCCCCCCCCCAAAAAAAAAAGAAAGAAAGAAAGAAAATTGACAAATTGAATGGAGTGTGACTACCGGTACTTTTAGTAATCTAGGAAATTGAACTAGATGGAATACACTGGTCTTGTAGGATCTCAGCTGATCATACTTCATAGGGATTCTTGGTGTGCACCTCTTCATGCCTCGAGGCACTCATCAATGTCACACATTGATCAAAACGTGTCTGTGTACTACACTGCAGGAAGTATTACTTATTGTCAGGCAAAGAGAGCAACACAAACATAATTAAGCTGACTTAGACTTATAAGTAATGATTTAAACATTTCTGTTTGTACAATCTACCTGTATTCACCACACCAAGGTGGTTCCATCTTGCCAGCTTTTTAACCATAATTTTGTGGAGTTTCATCAGAGAGCTTTGTTGCCAACACCCAGGTGGACTGTTGTCACACCTTGGCTTTTCCTGAGTTGGAAGGCCATCTTATGGGTCCTTTTCTGGTGTGCATCCAGATGTCTTAACCTGAGCAAAGTTTGGGTGACCACTGAGTACAGTTTCTATGATATTGTTCTTTGTCTTGTGGTGTGAAGCCAGATGTATCAACCTGAGCATAGTTTTGCTGACCACTGAGAATAGTTTCTATGATTTTCTTTTACTTCTTGTGGTGCAAATCCAGATGTCTCAACCTGTGCATAGTTTTGGTGACCACTGAGTACAGTTTCTATGATATTGTTTCTTATCTTCTGATGTGAAGCCAGATTTCTTAACCTGAGCATAGTTTGTGTGACGGTAAGTACAGTTTCTATGATTTTGTTTTACTTCTTGTGGTGCGAATCCAGATGTCTCAACATGTGCATAGTTTTGGAGACCACTGAGTACAGTTTCTATGATTTTGTTTTACTTCTTCTGGTGTGAATCAAGATGTGTTAACCGTAGTTTTGGTGACCACTTAATTGGTGAACTGTTTCTATGATATTGTTTTTTGTCTTCTGGTGTGAATCCAGATGTCTTAACGTGAGCATAGTTTTGGTGACCACTGGGTAAAATTTCTATGATTTTGTTTTCTGAAAACTCTCAGCCCTGATATAGGCCTACCGGTACATGGTTTTCAACCTTCATCAAAGTCTGATGTCTCATGATGAGATAGGCAGTTTCATTTACTATGTTATGGCAACTTGAGCATTTACATACCGTAGCTCTGTGCATCGCATTCCAAGTTTGCTGTACAGCATGATGCTCGCAAAGGTGTTTGCACTTCCAAGTTTGGCTCAATGTCTGCAAATGCCGTTCTTGCAGCTGCAGTTGGTGAGTTCCAAAATGTCATGTGGAGCTGGTAGAGCCAAATGTTAATATCTCTTTACCTTGAAGTACATGTAGTCTCTTGTTTTCGGTATCTTCACAGAACTGCATGAATAGTTTCATGTACCCACTTTGGATTTCTGTTAATGGCTTACTTGTCTTACTAAGGAACCTTGTATAGTCCTAGTTATAACAATCCCTGTGATTTTGAAGCTCACGACCAACCGAGTCCTCATCCTGTATCTGCTCCAGAATTTCAATGTGTTCTTTTCTTTGTGCTGCCTCTAACAGTTGTCCACCACTAAGTTCATATTTCGTCACTCTTGTAAGAGCTCTTTTACCCGCAAGGAGGAAAAAAGAAAAAAAGAAAGAAGAAAACTAGATGCGGTAATAACTAAACAAAACAGAGCTGTTCCCGACATGTTTTTGATTGTTTATCATGTCTGTTGGATGGTAGAAAACAAATTATGATTTTTTCAAAAATCTGTGACTTTTAAAATTGAAATTGTAATCTCAAATAATTGCACTCCAGCTTGTAGAACATAAAGCCTAGCACAGCTGATTGTGTGAACGTCAGGATTTTTCAAAGGCCTTAGAAGGACAGCTATATGCTGCATTTACTCACCGGCCGGGAAGGGGCCAGGAATCACCTCAGATTGCACCACAGAGCATCTACCGGTAAAATCCTAAATTCTCGGGGCCCTTAAGTGGGCCCTGGACAGCTCTCTAGATGCAGGGCATTAGTCCTCAGATCAAATGCCCCTTTGCATCTTTGCAACTGATTACTGAGTAAATACAATCATTTTTCAAAATTGTAATGCAAGAAAATATGCAGATGAAACATATGGTTAACTCAACATTGAAGTTCACAAGTATTACAAACTTGTAAAAGCAAAAGAATATTTTAAACCAGTGAAAACAGAAATCCTTATAATTCTAAAAACGTTTGCTCGCGTTTGGGGTAAGTGGCCAGGAATCACCTAAGATTGCACCACAGATCATCTACAATTCAACATGTCCGTGTCATCCCAGGGAGCTTGACAGACAACAGCTGCCATTTTTCTTGGGGCCATGGATGGATGTTTGAATCAAGCCTCTTTGCTCCATGCTCATGGTAGAGGACCTTCTCCCAAGCTGGCCACCATCTGGGATGAGAGGAAATTGTCAAGGCTTCGTGCAGATTCTGTGTCACCCTGTTGTTTGATTGGTGCTACTGGTATTCATTAATAAATTCAGTGGTTACAGATCATACATGTAAATCCAATAGAAACCCCCCACAGCCCAGTACGTTGCTAATACTGGGATTTTTTATTTCCATCCCAACAGATTCTTCGGAAGCTGCTCAGGGACTTTCTGGTCTGTGCCGTCCGTGCCACACCATGAGGAGGGGGTGCCCTGGCTGCATCACTTACACCTGAGGGGGGTGACGTAACCCACAGACTGTCGGCTAGAAAGTTTTCAGATCTTTCCCTCTTGCTGGGATACCTCCAGGGAATCTCCCGAAATGTTAAGGGGTCGAACGCCAGTTTCGTAAACAAACACAAATGGGCAACAACTCTACTGGTATGCTCAATGAACCACTGTGCCCACTGTTGTGCCCACAAATACCCGCGGTAATTTTCAAGCATCGGGCACGTCTTCCGTCATGGTGCTGGTTGATACAACCAGTTTGTCTGGAAGAGAATGTTCCAGGCTTCCAGCTCATCGTTCCATCTGTTTCAGACTAAGAAGAGGCTTTTCATTCAGCAGCCTTTCTAACGCATTTTGTAATTCTTGATTTTTTGTAGCGCTGTGTATTCCTCCTGAGTGATGACCTGTTCACAAGTGCGTGGCCATGACTGATCTTGCAGTAAATCTCTTGATAGCCAGTGAGTCTGCTACTTGGAAGTAGTCTGCATAAAGGCTTTAGTAAGTTTCAATTAGCCTCTTCCTTTATCTATGTTGCTCACTGTTCTGCTTGGATCATGGGCTATATGTCTCTAACACTAGCCCTCCTCAATCCTCCAAAATCCTCATTGCAGTTTTGAAGGATATTTGAGGATTGAGGATGAATGGCAAAAAGTGCCAGTGGATTTTGGAGGATGCAATTGGTCGAAGTTGTAGGCTGTACCCAGCATTCCTTATGCTCAGCCATGCATAATGGAACCCTGCATTAGGCCAAAAAAAAAATATTCAGTCTCTGGTCAGACCAATGTTCCGGAATTGACGCGGGGACGCAGCTTTTTTTTTTTTTTTTCAAGCTTGGATTGTACAGACAAGGTGGGGTACTATTTTGCTTTTTTGGTGTCCTCATGTACATTGGTGTCCTCCATAATTATCCTTGGTGCTTTCGATCATTTGCCTTGGTGCCATTTCCCATTCCTTGGTGCTATTTGGTAAAAAAAAAAATGAGGAGGTGCGGCAATGGAGGGCGCTGTTGGAGCTACCGCGGAACCTTTTTTGAAAAAAAAAAGACTGACGCGCATGATTAAAATCGACGCGCGCGCTGACCAGAGACCGACTTATTTTTTTTTGGCCTTATGCTCGATATCATCTGCACTGCTTCTAAATGTCATCGGTACTGACTCGACCCATAGCAGTGAATGGAGGAGGATTGTGGAGGATTGAGGCAATGGTCACCCCTCCACTGAAGAAATTAAAGAAATAACGGATGATTTTGGAGGATTGAGGATGAATCCAATTTTTACATTGGCAATTGGAGGATTTTGCAGGATTGAGGATGGTTCCTAGCCAAAATGGCCTAGGGGGTTAGGGTTAATACAATAAGAAAGTGAACGACACAGAAACAAATTGGAATGCAGACATTTGAAAACTGTTTGCCAATCAAATAAACTTAAATTATCAATCAACCACTTTCTGGGGCTTTCAAGGAATTAGATTAAACGAAACAACTATTTGAATCTGAAGAAAGAATGCTCAATCAGACAATATTGTGGATTTTTGGGTGTTTGAAAGCTGAAATAAGGAAATGTTCATTTTAACAAAAAAATTGAATGGGCTTTGTGTTAAATTGAACAATATTTTGACGGTATTGGCCAGGAAAGCCAATGCATTAATGTTGTTATTCATATGGTGCATCTTATCAGAACTTCTCTGTAGTCCCACTCCTTATCTACATGTATGTGAAGCCTCAACAATTACAAAAGCTTCCAAATTAATTAAGACGGCAGTCATTATTGCGTATAAGTATGCTATGTTGGGTTTAAAAAAAATTATTTTGATAATTTGTTTGCTTTTATTTTTGTTTTGCTTTCAGGTTTTTATGCTCTCTCAAGTAGACGGAATGCTGGAATGCCCTGAAACTATGTCACTTTGTGAAGACCTTCATCAGAGAAACAACTCCATCAAAGATGCCTTGGGCTTATGTAGAATGTACGAGGTTATTGTTTTGTTGTTATAATGTGCAACTGATACTGAATAAACGGTTGACTCCCATTCATAAAATATTGGTTGTCGTGACAGTAAAAACAATAATGTCTGTCCTGAAATCTCACCTATTTGAGATATGGTAGACACAAGAGGGCGCTATTTGGTTAGGGTGAATACACCACAATCTACTCAAATCAAACAGTGTGCCCTTATATTATGTCTGCCATATCAGACCCTCACAAATAATTTCATTATGTTCTACAAACACGCACATGAATTCAAAATGTCTGCAGAATGACGAGTTAGCGCTCTAGTAATTTAATATAGCTCTATGATTTTCTGGTTGTCTGTAAAAGTGACCAGGGCTTTCTATTGTATTTCTGAGTGCCTGTGTACCTACTTTGAGTGAACATGTTCCGGTAGGTCCTAATAATACATGGTTTACTGTACTAAAAAAAAATGGAACAGTGAAATCAATGGAGAAAATTAGATGAAAATACATACTTACGGAGATCGAAAACCAGACAAATGAAGATACACAGATTGAAGACATTAACTCTACTTTATTAAATTCGAAAAAAATAAACTCAAGCGGACGTAGGATGGTGAAGGAAACCCGACATATTTCCGCGGGTGAAAAAAAGGAAAGATTTTCACCATCCGACGCCAAGAGAAAAGAGGTAGCTAAGATGAGGGTCAGGCCGTGGGCAAGGTGGGTAGCCTATTGTGTGAACTCTTATAGCAGATGTATTGCACCCTCTAGGGAAATATGCATAGGTAGTGGTCTTATGGGTATTAGATGAGCGCTGTACACTTTAAATTTAACAAGCCGGTGAATGATTGAGGTTTTTGTGCATGCATCAGTGAATATTTAGAGTTTGTTCATAAAATCACATGAGGCTCTGTAAATGTAGGAGTTCAGGTTGGCATGTATGCTTTGGTTAAAGGGAATAAACAACATTTGCTAAAATAAGGAACCAAAGCTACCAGATTATCAGGAAATACCGTACTGGACTGTTAGTGAATGCCAGTCTACAGCATCCTGTAAAATCATGGCACCTGGTGTGCTGACATTTTCAAGAGAGATTTGTATCAATTTCCAACACTGGTTGTTCGTCCAGCATTGGAACAAAACTTGACTTAGCAATTGAGTACGTGTATTTTCAATGCACACGTATACATGTATGTGTAACCTACTTTGTAACCATGTGGCGTTTGATTTTAGTGCAGTTCCAGAACTTATTGTGAAATCTGTTTTCACTCTGTATTTGAATCGATGTGTTTTTCTACATGAAGTGGAAAATAAAAAAAAAATCATAATTTTGAAAGAAATTTTACATGACACTGTAGGTCAAGTCACTGGCAGTTCAGGCCCAAGGCAAAAGCCAGAGAGCCCACTTGAAACTATCAATTCAATATTCAAGCAAAAGTATGTCATGTTAATACAGCAAGACAATAACAGTACCTTGGCCTTGTCCAATATTTTTTAGTAAACATAAAATCTTGAGCATTGATAAATTTGGATCTTTCTAACTACTTTTCTTTGCTGTCAAAGGTCTAGCATTTTTTTAGTACAGTTTAATTTTTTTAAAATTTTACCCCAAGCATGCCAAGGAAAATGTGTAGAACATGTGTTTATTGAAATATGTTAGCATATTGACTATTTTTGTGCGACCTACAATAGAAAGTTTGTTCAATAAATGTCTTTAAATTGGATGAACTAGAAATTTGTGTTTCTTTTGAATATTCAGTTTCCTGGTGTAAATTATTCAAATGTCGCTATGGAGCTCTACATATTTTTTAATAGTGCAAATTCAAACCTTTTAGCTATAAATTCCGAGCACATATTTTGCCAATGAGCCTGTGGCCTGGTGGTCTAGCTCGCTGACCGCAAGGTCTGGGTCCGTGGTTCGATCCCAGCCGGGGATTCGGGAGATTTTTTGTTCACTGGTGGACAAGTTTTAAAAGTAATAAAATAGTAGCATAGGGTGGGGTTGAACCAGGTTCCTCTTGCATTTTCCACTATGCATTAGCACTTTCTTGCAAAACGCCGGTTTTCATAATAAAAAACCTTACGGTTTTTTACACTTCAATTGTTTTTGCCCTTGCCAAAATTTGAGGAGGTAAGGGGTACCCCTGGCATTTGTGAGGGTCTGAGGCTGGAGGGTTGTTGGAGAGGGACTTGGACTACTAGTAAAGCCTTGAGCTGGTTAGTTCTGCAAGTTGATAGGACTGCAAGTTTACGGGTCTGGGGGCTTGTTGGAGTTAACGGGCTAGACTAAGGTTTGGGGATTGCTATACAAATCGTTTCTGAGGTGGCAAGCACACACGAATTAATGTGAGGTACAGGCACAGTCCTCCCTTCAGTCGTTTTGTGCCTAGAGCGACCTCTATGGTTCCTTTTTCTGAATTTTCATACAAAGGCCGACTAAATCTGTGCTGCAAGTGGGGGGGGGGGGAGATAGGGGATGACCAAAATCCTAAAATTGCCCGGCCGTGGAAATTTCAAAAAAAGGGGGGGGGGGGAGGGAGGCTGGACACACCACATTATATTAGGGTCGCTCTTCAGGATAAATTTATCATCCCAAAAAAGTGGGGGGAATGATACAATAGCCCATCCCCAACCCCCTGACTCGCGAAAATAAAGCAGACACAGGAGACTTCTTTGACTTCTTCTTTGGTCTCACCTATGTGCGAAGAAGTGAGATTTATTCTCTCTCACTCTGCATTTTATAGGCCAACATGATCCCTATACAATAAATGCACATCATAACCCAAGTACAGAGGATACAATAACTAATGAAAATGCAGTATATGCTCAGTAGATGACTTAAGCCATGCCTATAGTGTTGTCCAGTAGGATTCTGATATTTATGACCTACCGAGGCAAAATGAGGAATGTCCCCCAAAGCCTTGTTTTGAGTAATTGACGCCTGAAGTCGGATATACTCTAAAAAAACATGTGAAAATTGGTTTTGATTGTTTGTATTTTTGAGTAGCCAAGGTATCTAAGAATCACACTATTCCTTTTTGTTGGGAAAAAGGGCTCAATGCGTGTCTTTTTTTTTCAAAGCCATTTTTCTCGAAATGAGGTTCGAGAAACCTGGCAGGACGCTGTTGAAGTTCCTGCATCTTATGTTTGGAACAAAATAAGCTACAGAAATAAGTTTGGTATCATTGGAAAAGCCAATGATTTGCACTTTAACATGATGTACATAACATCAAATCAAAGGTGGGGGTTATTTCTCATTATGCTACGGCAGGTCACATTTTAGCATGAGTGACTTGGCACTAACAAATGTCACTTCACAGTTCACCTTGATGTATAAAACCTGTACCTCATGACTCATCACAATACTATCAACGAATCAATTTATTTCACCTTATTCATTTACATTTATCAATCAACAAATCTGTCGGATTACCTTGCACAATAGTCATCGTCTTTCTTATCTCATACTTGTTCAAATACTTGCGCTCCAAATTTTGGAATTTTATGAATTTCATTTTTTTGCAATAGCACAATACTTGCTCTCGAAAGAGACACCAGCCAAGAATGTTTATGATTGATGGTAATATGGTTTATAGTTTTCTTTTTTTATATAACACAAAAGAATCTATATAAAGAATGACATAAATGATAGGAGTACAAGACCTGGAACCTGTAATTACAAATTAAACTAACATATTAATATGTACTGGGTTTGAAAACCATGGCCGGGTTATGGCCGCAACCTGGCTTGATCTGCGTCGGCGTTTTATCGACGTGCACAGCATGAATTTGTGAAAAAAATTATCAAGCCCAGGTTATATCTGCATCCTGTTGTCAGATCTTTCAGACTGTTGCAACTGCCCCCGACTTGGGACGGGCGGTAGTGGGTTGAGCGCTTTGGTCCTGGGAACCTTCCCCTTCCAGAAGCAGCAACTGTCATGACACTAGGCTGAATTAAATCAGGTGAATAAGTGTATGCTTATTAAATTGAAAAGAAATTAAATAGCAAAATATTCAAATTTGTATGAATATACTTTTTATCCAGTCATTACAAGGAAAGAAATCAATTAAATAACATGTTTGTGCGAGGGTTTGGCACTGGCAGGTGCTCGTTTTCCACAATCAGGAGAGTGATGCCTCGTCGGCAAGTGCGCCTTGGTTGTGGTGCATGCACCTGGGGCTGGACATCATCTTGTACGTCGTCAAGGTTCCATTCGCCGACGTTCTCCGGCAGGTTGTTCTCTGGCTGCTCCTCCTTGGGGCTGGTTCTGGCTATGTGGCTACCGCCACTCTCTCCATGTAGTCAGTTGGAACTTTCCACATCCCGAATAGTGAGTAGTAGAGATCGTCTCAGGTACTGTTGACCACCAGGTGTTCCATTTCCATCCTGGTACATAGTCTGTGTAAATCGACACCTGTAACATGCAATAACATGTAAGAACAGAAATGCAAGTTATTCCGTCAGCGAACCAGAAAGTAAAAAGAGCCAATGAGAATGATATTTACCCAGGCGGCACTCGAACTCTCTCCAGTCCATCCATGGGTGTCAATTATCGGTTTTGCGTCGTCGTTGTTGCTCCATAACAACCAGCAGACACGGGAGGTCCAGGACGTCGAGGTCCCGTCTGAGTAGGCGACATCTGTGGTGGATCTGATCAGTGAGTTCTAAAACAGCCCTTGATGTTTGATGCGATTCCTTGGTGTGGGTGATAGTAGGAATGTCGACTATTGTCATGCGGCATGAGGTGAGGCATCCCAGCCCATACGATTCGCCTACTGATGACGTTTACGTCCACCAGCATGAACTTGTTGGCCCGCATTTGTGTCATAATTACAGGCGTCATGTAGGGCCACGTTCCTATCTCTTTCTGTTGGATGAAGGACCTTGCAAGGATTTCTGGTCTGTAAGAAAAATAAAGAAAAATGGTTGAATATGTCATTTCAGCTCAACATGTACACACAACTGTTTTTTTTTAAGGAAAATGCATGATTTTCGGCGTCCTCAGTTCATTCGAGCATGTTCTTGAAGGTTGAGCTCATCATGGCAGGATACCCCCTTTGCTTGCGTTGTGCAGTCAACATCTGGGCCATTTGTACCGCGTCTATCCCCACCTGAAGCTCGCTTCTGAATCTGTGCCACGCCGACATGAAGACGCCCTGTACAAACTTCATCCATGCCAGGACAAGCATGCGTTATGATTGGGATGTGTCGTCGTCGACTGTGCATGTGGGGCAGACTAGAAAAAAAGAACAAGTGTGATATTGGAAATTAATGAAGGTATGTAACTTGTTTTGCGGATGATTCGTGAAATAGTTGTGATCGCCGTAGCCATGCGCGTCGGCAAAATAAAAAAAAGAATTTTTTCAATGTATTTCAACCCCCAAACTCACTGGTATGACTGAAATCCTGTTGTTGCCCAATTTTTAACGTTTTTTTAGATGGGGTTATGATTGAGTATAAGCTTTATGTGGCCTCTCTGGGCTCCCATATATTTTGCACTTAATTTAGTCGGACACTATTTTCAGTCATCAGCCGACATTTGAAGAAAAAAATAGTAAAATCTATGATCAGATTTCTGTGACAAATGATACTGAACTGTTTTGGTCAAACACACTGTTGAATTGCATTTATTTACGCTTTGCGAGGCCAACGTTTACATAAGAATTGTTTCTAGAGGAAATTTTACAATAATTAATTATAAATACTCAGCTGCGGAATTTGTGTGCTGCCTGTGGTTGATCAGCGGTTTGGATCCGCTTCCCCTAGGCGAAATGACTTGAAGGAGCTGCTGTGAAGCTTGTAGGTGATGGAAGCCGGGACTGTCCAGGGAATGGATGCAAAAAGGACCCGCTCATCTTGTCGGATGCCTAACAGAAGCTTTTTCCAGAGTTGCTTTCTGGCCATCGCCATTCTGACAAAGTTTGTCACATCATCTGAAATGAAGATGTTTGAGCCCCCATGGGTTTTATATATGTTCGGTTTATTTTTACTCTTTCTTTTGCGGTTTTTACATGAGTGAATCACTGACTTAAATAGGGAACCATGAACAGTGAATGACTGTTGTTGAACAACGAATAAACAGACTAAAGTGAATTACATGAAACTTCAAAACCATCACAACAGACTACATGCCATACGACAGAACCTTTATCAGGGCTACAAGTTTAGGTTCATCTAAACTTTCAGGTGGCAACTTGTAATAAGTCAACTTTACTAATTCGATAGTGCTGACTCTGAATCTGATTATTCACAGTGGCCCAGAATGCACATTATTAACCTTATGAAAAAATGTTATCAATTCAAATACTTTTAAACTTGACACCGCAAACACCTACTCCAGTTGCACCCAGAATGTGTAGATGCTGTTATTGAGCAGGATAACAATGATGGTGATGGCATTAACGCATACGAGTCAGACATTGAAATTGGAAATGAAACCCCAGATTAGCAAAATGACGGTGTTGATTCCTCCATGGTTGATGCAACAGAGTGGTCAGTACATGATGAGCACGGCGTCTGTAAACCAGCAGCTGCATTTATAGCCAAACTGCGAGCCAGTGGGTCGATGACTATGCATAACGCAGACATGGTTGTAGAGAACTCTTCCAGTATTGTAAAAGATATTGTGGAACATCTACACAAATTCACTCAAATGAAATTGAAAAGTGTTGCTGAGAATCCAGAGGACCTGAACAACATTCTAGATGAGGTAAAGTCCAAGTTTGAGCTCCATGAACAACCATTCCATGGTCTTACATCTCAGTACATGGAGAACAAATACTTTGTGAGAGAAGGGTCTCTCATAATGCCACAAGAAATAGTACTCGGTCACAGAATTGAGCAGCAGAACCATAGGATCTCAGGAGTTACAACTGAGGTTGTGAAGTGTAACACAATGTCATATGTGCCTTTGCAGGCAGTATTGAAAAACTTCTTGGAACTGCCTGGTGTATGGGGGGCTATCCAACAGGAAAAGTCAAAGAATGATGGTGTACTCAGAGATTTCCATGATGGCCAGTACTACAAAAGCAGTGCTTTACTGTCTCAACCTAACTGCATTTCACTAGGTCTGTTCAACGATGATCTGGAAACAACAAATCCTCTCGGCACTCACACAGGGGTCCACAAGCTTGGCTTCTTTTACTACATTGTGAAAGAGCTGCCTGCTGCATACAACTCCTTGCTGGTCAATTGCCACCTTCTGCAGATATACTATTCGGCAGACAGGAAAAAGTATGGATTCTCCAGAATTCTAGAGAATATCGTGGATGAACTGAAGCATTTGCACAAGGAAGGAATGGAAATATTCATAAACAATACAAATATACACAATGCAGTAGCATTGGGCCAAGTTTCTGGCGACAATTTGGGGATGCACGGCCTCTTTTGCTTCACAGAAAGCATTGCAGCAAACCATCCATGTAGGTTCTGCATCATTCATAAAGAAATGATGCAGACTACCTACTTTGAAGAGAGAGGACTTTTGCGAGATAGGGCTTCTCATGAACAGCATGTTTAGGATGTGGCACAGGATCCCACTTTTGTATCTGAAACCGGGGTTGTTGGCCCATCAAAACTTAATGACCTCAAGTACTTCCATCACACAGAAAATTATAGGTCTCTGAGAACAAGCTTAATTCAATTCTTGACTAATCCTCCCAATGCCCATTTCATACAAGAGGGAAAGGTTAGAATCAAATTCAGCGGTGACGGTACAATCTGCTGATTCAGACATGCACATCATAGTTTGTTAATTTAATAAGGTCATCGTTGTATTTAACTGCTGAACCTGGTACATGTGTTAAAAAAATTAAGAAGAAAACCCCTATTTTCAATCTTGGTAGTAATTACCTCGTTTAAGGAGGTTCTGTTTTCACCGACGTTAGTGTGTTTGTTTGTTGGTTGGTTGGTTGGTTGGTTGGTTGGTTGATTGATTGGTTTGTCTATGAACAAAATAACTCAAAAAGTTATGGACAGATTTGCATGAAACTGTGTGCCTTAGTACAAGTAGGAATCGCGATTATATTTTGGAACTGATGGGGATGTGCATCTGGATGCGGGATTTTTTACCCATATTTTAACCAAAACTGGGACCACATGGCCGTGTGCACAACATATTGTGAATGCGTTGCACTGACACCCCCTCCCCCCGCGACGGGCCTGGTCAGTATATACAGGCATTTCTATGTATCAAAGACTTCTCGTTACCAGACCCTGTTGACTATGAATTCATGAATTGACTGTCATCCCGCTCATCCGTGCTATCATTTGCTTTTGTATTTAAATATGGTTCGACTGACTTCTGGTGAAATTGATTACTGACTTAGCGGGTTTTTTTTCCATTGCAGTCCCAAGTCAGAGGACAAACGCAGGATGGCAGAAAAAATCATACAAACTCTCCCCAATCTGAGGTGTGATTCTGTCAGTGGTTATGTGAGTAAATATTTTGAAGCTTTGTTTAGGGAGGAGATCAAAAGGATTTTTCCCGTTCCGACGCGAGTGCACGGGAGGAGTGGGCCTATTGTTCCTAATCCCACGGGCGCCCGCATTCGCCTGGGCCCCGTTCCGACTGCGGGATCACGCCCGAAATTGCCTAACAATAGCACAATGAAATGGTCACGCTGAGTGCCCACAGCGCGGTACAATACAATAGAACAATAGTACAATAGAACTGTGCGGTGACGACGGTGGATAGTGGAACTGCACAAAAAAATATCCAAAGAATCATCAACCACAATGAAATTGACAAGGAGACTTTGGAAATACGTGTAATGGTTGCGATAAAATAATTTTTGTTGCTTTCTTATCTCTTGCAGGCGATGTATAGTTGAAGATGGATAGCGAGTTATTTAGCCCTAGCCGTCCCAGAACCCACTACCCAGCCCCCGCACGAAGCCCCAGTCGTCACAGAGCCCACCACCCAGCCCCCGGACGAGACAGCAAACGACTCGTCACTGCTGCTCGATCTGTCATTCATGGGAGATCATCAGTTGCAGCAAAGCATCATCACTCAGAATGCTTTGATTCTATCAAAACTGGACAGCCTTACACGGGTTGTGGTGGAGCTACGAGCGGAAGTCCAGGAGCTCAAGGAGGAGAAACGGGGATCTCGCCCGCTCAGCGGTCGAGAGGACGAACGGGTGCTGGTAGGGTCTAAGTTTGACGACGTATTCGCGAAGGTGAACAATGCCAAGGGCCTCATCGTAAAACTGGTAGGGAGACTCATCTGGCTGGATGAGCTGGCACGCTCCAACTTCCACGATGGAAATGTATTCAACGGGAAGAGTTGGGTTCGGGAAGAGTTGGGTTCGGAAAGAGGCTCTCCGAAAACATCCCACCTTCAAGGCCATCTTAGCACAGGCCAAACTCGACTTCCAGCGGGGCTTTGATGAGGCCGGTCTCAACAAGATCAGAGACAGCCTGAATGAAAAGTGTAGGAAGGTCGCTGCTTCCTTACGCGTGTAGCGTATTTTGACAGTTAAGGTCAGCCCTGCGACAGCTAAATTTATGCTGGGCCACAATTACATGTATTTTGAAATTTGTAAACTTATTATTCTATTTCTAACGTTGGTGAGATTTTTTTTGTTCAATGTGTCGTAACCCAAAACCATTTTCGGAGTGAATAATGATAAGCCACCGTATTAAGAAGGCGCACATTAGTACATTTTGACGGCCGAAATATAGTTCTCTGCTAGTTTTATTTTCGTAGTATGATCATACCTTCACCATTATGTTATTTTGGTGACTTTTGTAACTTAGTATTCTAACGTTGTTGGGAGTTTTTTTGTTCGATGTGTCGTAACCCAAAACCATTTTTGGAGTGAATAATGAAAAGCCACCGTAATAAAAAAGGCGCACATTGGTACATTCTGAGGGCCGAAATATATCAATATAATAATAATTATCGCGTTTTTATACATGTTTAACGATCACTATTGCTATTATCTGCTTTCAGTACACTATTTTATACAACTCCATGAAAAGATCAGCCCTGCGCCAGCTAAATTTATGTTGAGCCACATGTACATAATGTATTTTGAAATTTGTAAGCTTATTATTCTAACATTGGTGAGTTTTTTTTTCGTTCGATGTATCGTAACCCAAAACCCTTTTCGGAGTGAATAATGATAAGCCACAAAGAAGGCGCACATTAGTACATTTTGACGGCCAAAATAGTTCTCTGCTAGTTTTATTTTTGTAGTATGATCATACCTTCACTATTATGTTATTTTGGTATGAGAGACTTTTAGTGTAAATACATGTTCATAGTTCTCAGCTAGTTTAATTTTTCTTTATATGATCTTATCTTAGCTATTGTGTTATTTTGGTATAAAGTCGAGAGGGACTTTTGTGTATAAAATACATATATTTTTAAAAATAAATCACTCAATTTTCTCACATCACAACTCAATCGCCTGATCTCATGGTTGATTTATAAACTGTTTCGACCCATCATTTCAAGTGGAACAAGTTTACAGTTGGGCCCAACAGTACAACTATCAACTACCCAACATAGAAGTTTATATTTCACGTCCGTTTGCATTGACCATTCATTATTGGGCCATCTAAAATATTCTTCCGACGTAGATCCGCCGTGAAGAATTGCTGTCTCACCGTCCGACTCCCACTTACCTGTATTCTGTTCATGTGTTTACATCACCGTTTTTCACATACCTCTGCCATTGCTGGCAGCCGTGCGCGCGGGAGAACAGGACATTAACATAACAAAGGACGCACACAATGAGACTTTTAATGAGCTCGGGTTCTTCGCTGGGCGCCTGGTAAGCCGGGCGTTCTGCCCCGGGAGAACGGGCCTATTGTTGGGTTGAGTTAATCCCCGTTCAGAACGGGAGGAACGCGGGCGCTCGCGTCGGAACGAGACTAATCCTTTTGATCTCCTCCCTTAAAGGGAATATACAACATTTGCAAACATCAAAAAATAAAACTACCAAGTTTTTACAAAATACCTTAGTAGGATGTTGGTAATTGACAGTCTAAAGCATCCTGTAAAATTATGGCACCTGGTGTGAAGTCAGTTTCAAGAAAATTGTATTTTTGGATACATTTCCAACGGTGCTCCAAATTCACCATTTTTTTCAGTCCAATTTTGTTTGCTATTGGTTACATGTTCATGAACGGGTGCAGGCCAGCTAGACTGGTTCCCTTACCTTACAATTTTCTGGCATCTAGAAATTGATCTATTTTATCTTTAGTGGAGTCAGGGAGCCAGACTACTCCACCATTTGTGTTTTTCTTGGTTTTTCCAGCATTTCCGAACGCAAAACTTCAAACATTTTAGTGAAACAATATTTGATCTGTTATATGGTAACCCCTCAAATAGTTCATTTCTGAAAATTACAGCAAAAGCCAATGATGTACATTCCCATTGTAATAGGATCCAGACAGGCCTAATAATCACATTCATACATAGATTGTAATTAAGCCTGCCCCAAATTGGTTTAGCTGCTTAGCTGTGATGACGTGGCTTAAAGCTTGGTTGTATGTTAAGACCTCACAGTTCACATACTGGCTACTATACATGTTTGTGGCAAATGTTCTGGTAAATTTCTTGCACACTGTAATTGTATGTCCCTAGGACCACTTCTACACACCTGGGAAGGGGAAAGTGCCTGCAACAGGTTACATTGAAGAGAGGCTCAGGAATATTCAAAGGAAGTTGAGCAAGCAGAATGGTGGGAGGGCTGCGAAATGTAGAAGCACGGGACCAACTGCAGCTTCACCCTCCAGACGTGGCATAGCTGTCACAGGTGAGATTGGCTCCACGTACACTATCCCCTGACAACCTGTACTTGTATCTCAACATTGCCATTCGTACCGTGTGTAGATTAAACTGTGCATAACACAATCATTATTGGGTTTTGTTTCGTCAATGTAATTATTAGCACCAGAGGATGCAGGAGCTACTCTTTCAGAAAAACGGAATTGGCTGAAACACAATGCTGAGCCAAGACACATGGTCCGGACATACATGGCTGACACAAGGCAGGCTAGAATCCACTGGATCCATGGGGAAGATCAGCCATCAATCGTGATATATTGCAAGCCTACCCGAGATATGCAGATCCAGGTTCTTATGTATGGGTAAGTAAAACAAATTATAACAGAGATGGTAGGAGTTGCAAAATACTAAAGTCGGGTTAGCAACAACTGATGGATGCATTTTAATCTACATAGGTTTCATTGTTCCATTTTAATTATTATGAAAATGCCCAAAAATGTCATTTCACGTAATTTCAGTTTGTCATTGCTCGCCTCATATTGAGCATGAGCGCTTTGGCTTTATAAACATGACGTAAACAATTGAAAAATGACCGGGTATGTTTGCTGCCACCATCGTCTCAAAAGCCTCCCATTAAGGTACATCAACAAACTTTATGGTTGATGCGATTATGCTCCCATAACAAATTTTTTACAGCTACATATTTTGTAATCTTCAGTGCATATATTTTCAGCGTTTTTGTTTATTTTATAATGCATGTGTATCTCAGATTGATGAGGACTTCCAGCTTCTCTTCAAGGAGCAGGCTGGCAATTTCACAGCAAAGTGGGAGATGGT